GAGCAAACTGACCATAACAACGTGGTACAGGGAGCCATTCAAGAGGTGGGAGAAAACAGAAATGTAGCTGTAATTGGAAATAGTATAGCCAGAGGAATAGACACTGTTCTGTGGCCAGGATTGAAAGTCCCAAAGCCTGGGTTGCCTGCCTGGTACCCTGGTTCAGGATTTCACATCTGGGCTGCACAGAAACTTGAAATATGAGGGGAAAGATCCAGTTATTGTGGTCCACATGGATACCAATGATTTAGGCAGAAAGAGGAAAGAGGTTCTGTTGAGAGAATATGAGCAGCTAGGACCCAAATTAAAAAGCATAACCAAAAACAGTCATAATCTCTGGATAACTACCTGTGCCACAAACAAATTGGCACAGGGTCTACAGGATTAAAGAGGTAAACGCGTGGCTCAAAGGTTGGTTTGGGAGAAACAGGTTCAAATTCATGGGACATTGGCATCAGCACTGGGGAAGGAGGGAGCTGTTCAAATGAGACGAGCTTCACCTGAATCAGGGACCAGAATCCTGGCGAATCACAGCACTAGGGCAATGGATAGGGCTTTAAACTAAATAGTGGGGGGGCAGGGGGGCGCTGCAGTGAGTTGGGTTGTATGAAATTATGGAAAAAGTTCAATGAGGAAGGGCTCGGCACAGGTTGTTAAAGTTCCCAGAACAAGTGATAGGACAGAGTGTATGGAAAGAGTCAGGAATCTAACTTCAGGCACAGCAGGTATGGGGACAACTATGGGAAGAGGGGCATGGGGGCAGCCAATGCTGGACTGAGGGTGTTGTACTTAAATACACGCAGTATACAAAACAAGGTAAATGAGCTTGTAGTACAGATTGAAACTGGCAGGTACGATGCTGTGGGTATCAGAGACGTGGCTGCAAGGGGATCAGGGCTGGGAACTAAATATCCGAGGATACACGTCCTATCGAGAGCACAGGCAGATGGGCAGATAGAGAGTAGGGGTCAGGTTACCTTGTCAGTAAGATCTAAAATTAAATTGACAGCAAGAAGTGATATGAGATGGAAGGCGTAGAATCTGTGTGGGTAGAATTGAGGAACCACAAAGGTAAAAGGATCCTGATGTACAAGTCTCCTAGCAGTAGTCAGGATGTGGGGCAGAAAATAAATCAGGAGATAGAAAAGACATGTAAGAAAGGCACTATTACAATAATCAATAATCAATACACAGGTGCACTGGGAAAATCAGGTTGGTAGCCAATCTCAGGAAAAGGAATTTGTGGAATTTCTACCCAATGGTTTTTGGAGCAGCTTGTGGTAGAGCCCACTAGGGAACAGGTAGTTCTGGATTTGGTGATGTGTAATGAGGTGGACTGGATTAGGGAGCTTGGGGTGAAGGAACCCCTAGGGAGCAGTGAGCATAATACGATAGAATTCACCCTGCAGTTTGAGAAGGAGAAGATGGAATCAGATGTAACTGTATTCCAATTGAGTAAAGGTAACTACAAAGACATGAGGGAGGAGCTGGTCAGAGTTGATTGGAAGGGGAACCTGGCAGGGAAGACGGTGGAACAGCAATGGCAGGAGTTTCTGGGGGTAATTCGGGAGGCACAGCAGAAATTCATCCCAAGAAGAAAGAAACACACTAAGGGGAGGATGAGGGAACCATGGCTGACAAGGGAGGTCAGGGATAGTGTAAAAGTGAAAGAAAAAGCATCCGATGTGATGAAAGTTAGTGGGAAGTCGGAGGCTTGGGAAGCCTTTAAAAACCAGCAGAAGACAATTCAAAAAAGCAATAAGGGTGGAGAGGATGAACTATTACAGTAAGCTAGCTATAAATATAAAACAAGATTGCAAATGTTTTTTTTCCGATATTTAAAAGTAAGGGAGAGACAAGAGTAGGCATTGTACCGCTGGAGATTGAGGCTGGAGAAGTAGTAATGGGGAACATAGAAATGGTGAAACTGAATAGGAACTTTACATCATTTTTCACAGGGGAAGGCACCAGCAACGTACCAGAACTTTAAGAGATTCAGGGGACAGAGGTGAATGCAGTGGCCATCACTGAGGAGAAGGTGCTAGGGAAGCTGAAAGGTCTGAAGGTGGATAAATCACCTGGACCAGATGGACTACACCCCAGAGTTCTGAAGGGGACCACTGAGGAGATTGTAGGGGCATTGGTGGTGATCTTTCAGGAATCAATGGGGACAGGGATGGTGCCAGAGGATTGGATAACGGCGAATGTCACACCCCTGTTTAAGAAAGGAGGGAGAAGACAGGAAACTATAGGCCAGTAAGCCTGACCTCAGTCATTGGGAAGATTTTAGAGTACATTATTAAGGATGGGATTGCAAAGTACTTGGAAATGCATGGTGAAATAGGGCTAAGTCAGCATGGCTTTGTCAAGGGGAGGCCATGCCTGACAAATCTGTTAGAATTCTTTGTGGAGGTGATGAGCAAGTTAGACAAAGTGGATGTGATCGATTTGGATTTTCAGAGGGCCTTTGACAACGTGCCACACAGAAGGCTGCTAAATAAGACAAGAGCCCATGATGTTAGGGGTAAGGTACTGGCATGGATAGAGGATTGGCTAACTGGCAGAAGGCAGGGAGTGGAATTTAGAAGGATGAGGGGGGAATCTGATTGAAATACTGGGAGGCCTGAATACAGTGGACATGGAGAAGATGTTTCCACTAGTAGGAGAGACTAGAACCCGAGGGCACAGCCTCAGAGTGAAGGGATGACCCTTTAGAACTGAGATGAGGAGGAATTTCTTCAGGAATTAGGTGGTGAATCTGTGGAACTCATTGCCACAGAGGGCTGTGGAGGCCAAATCACTGCGTGTGTTTAAGACAGAGATAGATAAGTTCGTGATTAGAAAGGGGATCAAGGGTTATGGGGAGAAGGCAGGAAAATGGGGTTGAGAAACATATCAGCCATGATCGAATGGCAGAACAGACTCGATGGGTCAAATGGCCTAATTCTGCTCCTATTTCTTATGCTCTAATGGAAGTGCCATCTGACTCTGGCATTTTGGACATTGGAACTTCTTCACAGAAAACTTCACAAGGCTTGCACCAGCTGTCTCACTGCTTCGATTAAACAATGACCCTGTTTGAACCTCTCCCCTTCCTGTGTCTCCCCTGTTGATGTACCTGGTCCCTACAATCCCATCACCGTCTCTTTGTGCCTCCCATTCCGCAGGCACTGTGTACCAAGTCTGGCCTTGAAATTCAGTAACAATACGAGGCTCTTCAGACCATTTAACTTAGTCCCTTTTATCTTCAAATAACAGCAGGAGGAGGCCATTCAGTCCATCAAGCCTGGTCTACCATTCTGTTCACCCGTTCCTGACCAGCATGTCAGCTCTATCTATCGCTTTCACTCCCTCTCCCTCATGGCCTGATCCAATAATCCAGTCCATTCGCAAAAGATTTGGCTGACTCCCAGAATCTGCAGCTTTTCAGACGGGCAGTTCCACATTTTCTGACCCTTACGTGGATTCACACAGGAGTTAAGTAGATTTACTTACACAGGTTTATTTTTAAATGTACTCCTGGATGCTGCATTTTGATGATAATTTTAACGGCTGTGAACAGAGTGGATCAGCTCTCATCAGCCTCATCCATGTGCCTCTGCTCTGGCCACTCACTCTGCTCCCATGCCATCAAAAGCCTCAAAACGAAGGTTCTCAGCTGGTAGCAGTTGATGGGTCATTCCTGAAGCCCAGGCTAATGCTCGCGGGCAGTGGGTTCAAATCCCCCCACAGCAGCTGCTGCATTTTAATTCATTCAGTTTAACTGAAATTCAATTCATAAAATCTGGAACCAACAGTTAGTTTCAGTGATGGTGATCAAGAAACTAACATCAATTGTCACAAAGACCCATCTGGTTCACTCATACCCTTTAGGGAATGAAGTTTATCTGGGCCTGCAAGTGACTCCTTACCAACAACAAGGTAGTTGACTCTGCAAATCACTCAGCTCAAGGCAGTGCCAGTGACGAACAAAGAACAGTACAGCACAGGAACAGGCCCTTCGGCCCACCATGACTCTACTGTGGTCCGTATCCCTCCATTCCCGGCTTATTCCTGTATCTGTCAAGATGCGTCTTAAACATTGCTATTGTATCTGTCTCCCCCACCCCCTCTGGCAGCACATTCCAGGCACCTACCACCCTCTGTGTAAAAAACCTGCTTCTCACACGTCCTTTAAACTTTCCCCCTTTTACCTTTGTCCCCTGGTAATTGACATTTCTACTCTGGGAGAAAGACTCTGACTATCCATTCTATCCACGCCCCTCAGCTTTCGAAAATCAGGTGAAAACAAACCAGGTCTGTCCAATCTCTCCTCATAGCTAACACCCTCCAAACCGGGCAACATCTTGGTAAACTGTTTCTGTACCCTCTCCAAAGGCTCCACATCCTTCTTGTAATGTGGCGACTGGAACTGTACGCAATATTCCAAATGTGAAGAATAAGAAAGAAATACATTGGAATCCTCTATGGCTTTTCTTGTATCCCTGCCCTGCGCCCACAGATAGGTTACTAACTTGGCCAAACAGCAAGGAATGCTGGGTACATTGGCTGGATGAAACTCACAAAATCACAAAACCCACACACCAGGCACAGTGCAAACACAGCAGGCAGGTGCTAATGACATTAGTATAATGTAAAAGATAACAGTTACCCTGGACAGACATCCCCCTAACAACTTACCCACTAAACAAAGGAGGGCTCAGACAGAAACCCACTGGGTCCTGTTACACAGAGAAGCTGATAGTAGCGTGTCATCTAAACAATTGGCAGGTTTCAAACTATCTAAGTGAGTCTCCTTGATTGGCCAGAATCATAGAAGGTTCCAGAAAACCACCCAAAAAAGGTATAAGAGATAACAAGGTGTGGAGCTGGATGAACACAGCAGGCCAAGCAGCATCATAGGAGCAGGAAGGCTGACGTTTCGGGTCTGGACCCTTCTGAAGATTCTCCAGCATCTGCAGTTCCTACTATCTCCAAAATAGGTATAAAACAGGATTCACCTGCAGACTGATCTTTCTTGAAACCTCTTGGAAATTCTGAGGAGACCATCAGGACCAAAGGCAGAGACCCGGTGACAGTCTGGAGAGAGAGAGAGAGCAGCTTCACTGTCCCACAGAGACAGGGGGAGAGAGAGCAGCTTCGCTGTCCCACAGAGACAGGGGCGGGGA